ACCCCAAGAGTCTGACCCATTCAGCCTAAGACCTCAAACCTGAGCACAAGACCCCACACGTCCTATATTCCAATATGGGAGCCTGAGCAGTTTTATGCGATGCTTCAGGGTTCCTTAGTATGTGTATATATATATATATATATATATATACATTTATATATTTATACATATATTTATACATATATATATATATATATATATATATATTTATACGCACACCCCACTTTATAGTAACACCCCAAAGCCCTGTGCAGGCTCCGGAGACTCTAAACCCTAAACTATTGTGGCCCCTGATACAGACTAAACCTCTGAGTCTGAGGACAAAGAACCCGGATGCTCCCGTTTACTTGAACCTAAACCCCCGAAACCCCACAACCTAAACCTCAAACCCTAAACTCTAGACCCTAAACCCTAAACCCTGGACCCTAAACCCTAAGCCCTAAACCCTAAATTTCTGAGGACAAGAACCCGGATGCGCCCGTCTACTTGAACACGCTCCATCCCGTCGTCCGGGAGCGCTTCACTTTCTTCTTTGCCTCGCTCCGTAGCCTGGCGGGTAGTTTTCAAAATAAGGGTACCCTTTTGGACACCCTAAATATTAGGTACCGTATCATATTAGGGACCCAAAAAGGGACCATTATTTTGACAACCACCCTGGTGTCGACCTTTTTGGGGGGGTTTCGGATTTGGGATAACTTGGGGATACTGCAGGATGATTCAGAGTTTCGGGCTCAGGAAGTTTAGGGTGATTTTTTTGGATGATTTAGAGTTTAGGGTTTAGGATTTGGGATGATTTAGGGTTTAGGGTCTAGGGTTCGTGCTGGAAGGGTTGGATTCCCTGTAAAGGGTCTACTGAAGAAGTCTACGTAATTACCCTGAGCCCTAAACCCTAACATTAGCTAGGATGCCCAGTAGTACCCTTATTCCCTTTTTGTAGTCCTAGGTTCCTTAAAAAGTTACCCAATGCCAAAAAGAGAGGCCTTTTTATTCTTAGGTTACTGGGTATCCTAGTTAGTATAGGAGACGATACTCCCAAAGCATATTCTAAGTATTAAGGCCCCTGCATCATAAGGGTTGCTATTAGGAGCTAGTGTTCAGGTCTAGGCTATGGGTTTAGCTTTGTAGCTTTGGGCTATGAGAGGGTTCTAGGGTCTTGGGTTTTGGATTTAGGGTTTAGGGCTTCGGGTTTGGCTTTGAGAGTTTAGGCTTTCTGAGTATATGAACCCATGTCTTGATGAGCACGATTCGTTCTACTCGTCCGAGTGCCGACACTAGTGTTCCGGAGATTCCTAAGATGAAACCATACAGGCCTGTGTGATCACAATTTGCACTGTTGGTAAAATAATGGGTGTTGCATGGGGATGTACATCAAGGCTTGGGCTGTGTGGCGTTTTTTTGTGAGAGCGCACGCAGGCGTTTTAGGGGATGTAGGTTAGGTCTACTGCAGGGTTTGGAGTTCGAGTTATGTAGGTGTACGCGGTCGCCGTGTTGGGAGGCTGTCTGTTTCTGCGTACGTATATGTCGAAGCTACATACAGATGCACGCAGAAGTGCATACTTGCATACGTACGCAACTCTGCAATCACCGGGGCTCAGCCCTTCAGCTGCGGACCTTGAAGCCCTTATAGACCCTAAGCTCTTGCATTTAAAAAAAAAGCTTGCTGGCGCACGCGCACGCGCGTGTGTGTGCTTAAAGGCTCATGGGACGTAGTAACTAGGGTTATAAGTTATTAATCAGGTAGCTATACTTATAATTACGTATAACCCCAATTAGGGGACTTATGACCTTACTAACTAAGTCCCATGATCCTCTAAGTGTGTCTGCATTTGCGAGGTACCATCTGTGAGGATCGGATGCGAATGGAGGACTGCTGCTTCTCCACGACATTATTATGATGAGTACTATCAATAGAAGTATTAGTAACTAACACTATTATATTTAATAGTACGATTCTCATTATTCTTATTGTTGTCTTTTTCTTATTATTGTTATTGTTAGTATTTAAGAGTTTTTTGTTTTTAGTTGTATTGATATTCCTTTGGATCCTGCTCGTGGTTTAATCCCTAGGGTGTCGTTTTACGGCAAGGGACGTAACTTTGCAACACTGGTTCTGTCGTTTTGTGGGGCTCTGAATCCTGTTTCTTCTGGTTGAAAGTCTTTCGAAACCTACATACAAAAGCACACGAAGCATTCTTAAAGATCAGATACATAAGCAAGTAAGGAAAGACATACATAAATAAATGAGTACATAAATAAATTCTGGTAACGTTATATCCCCCGCTGCATTTCGTGATCTCGCACAGAAAAGCACGCGTTCGCCACTTCACCATTTCGCCATTCATTTCCCGCACATGGTCAGGCCCGTTCACCATTTCACCGTTCATTTCACCCCCCAATGTAAACGTAAAGGGACATAAGTAAGCATGTTATACATTCATGTTTAGAGGTGTGTAAGTGAAGCCAACACATTTTCCAGATAACGCTAGTTTCCCATATATAGTAAAGTCTTCAATCGTAGACACAGCGTATACGTACACTCTGTACATGGTGTACAGACGAAGACAATCAATGAAGCGGTCTCCTTGTAGTAGCACTTGCAAACAAGATTAACATCCAGGTTTGCATAGGGCGAAAGTATTACTTTCATGAGAAGTTTTGTAAGAAGCGAGTACCTTACATGCATCTTTAATCACCTCGCAAAGGTACATATGTGTGCCCAACAGCAACTTCGTATTGAATCCACTTCATCTGCCGTACTATGAAACGGGTGATTAGACTTAGACCCACTGAATTTGGGTCAAAGTATAAAGAGTTGTCAAATGAGTAGTCAACATCTCCATCAACATGAACTTTGAATGTCCTAGTTGTACGATGCCGTTGGCCTTGAACAAGCCAAGGCTGAACTCAAAGGCCTCGGGTGTCTTTCAGACTCCTTTGCTGTACTAGTATTTGAACTTAGAGCAATGAAGCAGTGTCGACGGGGTTGATCATGACAATGACAAGTGTATGGTGAGGGGCATGTTTTCTGAAAGGGTCAAGCACGCAGAATACAGATGTTACATCAGCAGCGACAGTAATTCATCTTGTAGCAACATAGGCAATACAACAGACGAAAAAGGTGAGTATTCACGGAACGACAGGCTTGAACAAGCCGCAACAGTCCGTATCCAACGGAATCAGAACGTATTCGATTGGCAAGGGGCCGGGAACCCGAATCATCCGAATCAAAGTGGTTCGACGGAACCCGTACGGTTTCATCCGAATTTCATCCGTTTGAATATGTTCTATCTTGGTTTGGGGCGAGAGTTTTGCATTTCAAAATGAGGAAAAAAGTTACGATCTGAAAGCACTCCCCCGATCCCAACTAGGATGCCCAGTAGTAACTCAGTAGTACCCTTATTCCCTTTTTGTAGTCCTAGGTTGCTTATAAAGTTACCCAATACCAAAAAGAGAGGCCTTTTTATTCTTAGGTTACTGGGTATCCTAGCCAACACCCCTCGTCCTGAAGCTTAGATTTAGGACAAAAGCATGGGTACACGGGTATCCCCTGAACCCACGCCTTCCGAAAGCTGAGATTTAGAAGAAAGTCGTGGGTACATGAGGGTACCGTTTATCTATATATCTATTATCTGTATATCTATATATCTATATTTATATCTATATCTATATATATATATATACACCTATATATCCAAATGCCTGTATGCCTATATACCTGTGTATCCATAAAGCCGTATATCGTTATATCCATATATCAGTATTTCCATGTGTCTATATCTATATACATACAAGCATGTATACACATATATATATATATATATATATATATATATATATACATACATATACATGTATCTATAAACGTTGTTCGCATGTTCTTGTATTTGTGCACAGACCCCGATCTGCCCAGAGATGAGGACTTGCTTTTGGTTCAAGGTTTACAGGGCTCACGGTTTTTCGCAGCTTTTTGATGCCCTAGGTTCAGGGTCCAGGGTCCCGGCTAGAGGAGTGTAGGTATAAGTATAACCGTCTGTTTCACCACACTACTCCGCGACGAAGGAGTTTCAGATAACAGGGAACCACCCCGGCACAGAAGCCAAAGACTAGGATCCTTTCCTTGAGGGCGCCGAGAAGGCACCCAGAAGTTGTAAGAACGCGTAAAATCCCAAAGCCTTCTTTGCAACAGTCACGTAACCCATCAGAAACCCTCGTGTTTATACGTAGTAGCAAACCCCACAACCCTAATCCAACTCTTCTGTCTGGTTCTTCGTAGGGAATGGGGGAGCGGGCTATTGGGACCATACCTGCATGGGGATCATACAGGGATTACCGTGGGGATCCATTTCCCCCATTCCCTACTAAGCACCAGACAGCTTAAGGCCACTTCTCTTCCAGGAGAATCCGCCGATTTCGCACCACGGGATCTTCCGGACGCACGACATCATGCCTTTGTCTCAAGTTCTGCCGGCTGTAAACGAAGAGGCCCGGTGTTTAACAGCTTTGCTTGTTGTCCTTGTTGCAAGAGGGAGTGCTTATGATGATTTAGATGATGCTGATCACGGTTGTGATGCTGGCTGTAATGCTGGTGGTTGGCATGGTGGCTGCGGCCGGTTCTGCAGAGCAAGCCGATGGATTGTACAAGTAAGTAGCTGTGGTTGGTTGCACGCTTGAGGGTGACATTGGCAGTGGTGGTGCTGCTGCTGATACTGATGACGATATGATGGCTCCTGGACTTGAAAAATGAGGCTAGGTTTCTGTTTTTCAGCGTGTTTAGTTTTAGGCACATGGCATATTGCCTGTTCTTCTGGCCCATGGCCCTCCTCGACCGGTCTTCTTTGCAAGATGCTCGGGCTCAAAATTGGCCCAGCGTGAACCAAGGGGTGCGTTTCGACGCCATGGCTGATGAACCCGAAGATCCCAATGTGAACCGAGATGAGCTGTTCCATATTGTGAGAGATGGTGACTATGTTGATGCCAAGAAGGCCCTAGCAAAGGCAGATATGGCTTGGCGGCATACAGCTCTGCAACAAAATTTCTTGTTCTTTATTGCGGCACGGCGCCGCCGGGGATCCGAATTATTAGCAAGGCAGTGCATCGAAATGGGTGTCAATCTAGAGGAAGTTGATCTGCATGGGCAGACGCCTCTGTTTTGGGCTGCAGCGCGCGGCAATTTGGTCATAGTGAAATTCTTGCTTAATCTGGGGTTTGAAGTGAACTTTCGCGACAAGGCCAGGAAGACTGCTCTCTTCTTTGCCATTGAGAAGAATCACATGGACGTGGTCGACTACCTGATAGAACGTTCTGCCTCTATATGGGTTCGGGCCTCCGACGGCAAGACACCACAGTTGATGCTAAAGGCGTTGAATCACAAGGCCCCCAGCAGGAAAAGAGAGTTGGTGTCGCCAACACCGACTTTCACGTGTCCGGGCGCGGCAACACGGAGCCGTTTTGCCCAGTGGGAATGGGCCGGGGCCCAGGAGGAGACTGAGCCACTGATTGAAAAGAAGGAGGACAACGTGCTCGTGGAGAACGCGCAGTATCTCAGTCGACAAGTTAGTGCGGATGTCAAATTAACCGCTACGCGAACCTGCAAGAACAAGATCACAACAACACGAACAAGTACAATAGCAAGATCGCGAGAACAGGAAGAATAAGGAGAACACCACCAACAATAAAAAACACAATCAACAAAAGACACCAACAGCAGCAACAACAGCGACAACCACAGCAACGACAACAAAAACAAAAATAAGCAACACGACGACGAAACCATCACCACAACTACTATCGACAGCAACAGCAAACAGAAACAGCAACGCGAGCAATAATAAGAACAACGACAAGAACAGTAAAATGGCAACAGCAACAACAGGACCACCACCACCACCGCCGCCAACAACAACAACAACAACAACAACAACAACAACAACAACAACAACCACAACCACAGCCACAAAGACAACCACAACATCAACAACAATAACAACAGCAACAACAACACCAACATCAACAACAACACCAACACCAACATCAACAACACGACGAACACCACCACCACCACCACCACCACCACCACCACCACCACCACCACCACCACCACCACCACCACCACCACCACCACCACCACCACCACCACCACCACCACCACCACCACCACCACCACCACCACCACCACCACCACCACCACCACCACCAACAACAAAAACAACAACAACAACACCAGCAGCAGCAACAACAACAACAACAACAACAACATTGGGTGTTTATGTGTGCGAATGTTTTTGGAACTTTTCAGTCGGCCTTCTAACTGGACAACTAAGGTACTACGTGTGTGCATCAGTGACAGGGTGTTCGAAACGCCTCCGCCGCTCGGAACGGGAGTTTGTTGGAGATCACGCACATTATCATCAACAGGAGACCTGGTACAGCAACTTGACTCCTGAGAATTCTGCCGCGCTCGTGAACGTGAGCATGGGTGACGAAAAGGCACATGAGAAGATTATTGACGAGTTGGCGCAGGGATCACGGCCTCGTGCCTTCACGCTGGCAGCAGTGTCGCAACAGACTCGCACACTCGCTGGTTATGTGTATGCATCTTTCACGGACGAGACGTTGAAGATCGGCCAAGTGAAGGTGGACCGCCCCCATCAAGAACGGGGACTAGGCGGTCTGCTACTCAAAGCGGCCGAGAAGCGAGCACAGAACTTGGGAGCATCCATCTCGAAAGTCAAACTCACGGTCCTCGAAACCAACAAAGGGGCTCAAAGATGCTATGCGAAGTCGGGGTTCAAGGTTACCACGACATACTCGTCAAGTTTTCCACCGTGCGCTTGCGAAGCTAAGCGAATCCCTTGCCACCATGAAAAGATCCGGTGGTACAACATGGAGAAAGCTTTGCCTGACAACACAGCCTGAAAAACAGGCTGCTTCCCGGTGAGGGTTGAGGGTTAGGCGCTCCCGGGATTCATGTGTGGCGGCTTAGGGTTTGCGCCTGGGCCGAAGCAAGGACTTGCAATTGATACTTTTTACCTGTTACTTTGATAGCGGTGTTCTTGAAGCCTAAGAGAAACCCTTTTGAAATTGAGCTTCGTGCCGCCAAAGCATAGGGCAGAAATGCTGCCGGCGTCGTGACATCTTACGAGGATTACAATGGCTGATGTTTCAGGACTAAGCGTTTTTTCAAGGGGGTTGATAGGCTATATGTATTGCGTTCGGAACTTAACACATTTAAGTCTAGTGCAGAACCCATAAAGCCTCCGTAAAGCCCTGCTCTGCCTGGTAAAATGCTGGCAAACTCCTTGCAAAACCCTAAATGCGAAATGCTCAACCACCTTCCTTGAGCAAGCAGATAGTTGAAAACAAGCCCTGGGCCAGGTTATCCTCCAAGACGCCATGCTCACTGGCAACAACGGAGAAAACCTCCGGTGGATCATCGGCAAGTATCCGAAGGACTAGCAGGGTGTTGGATTTCTCGGGTTTAGCTTCCCGGAGACTCCAATACCGCTTCTTGAGGAATACGCTTTGCAGCATGACCAGAAGTAGCCAAGAACTATTCCTAAACCCTAAACCCCTGAACCCTAAACCCCCAAACCCAACACCCTAAATGAAACCCCTAAACCCCGAACCCACAACCTGCTTGAATTAAACCCCTAAACCCCCAAACCCAAAACCCTATAAACCCTGAACCCTGAACCCCAAAACCTGCCTTAAACTAGGCCCCTAAACCCTGAACCCTGAACCCCAAAACCTGCCTTAAACTAAGCCCCTAAACCCTGAACCCCTACCCGCTGGGAACCCAGAGACTCCAATATCCCTTAATTAAGGAATATTCCTTAAATCATATTAGGGATCCTACTATAATTTAAGGTATATTCCTTAATTAAGGGATATTGGAGTCTCTGGGAAGGAGTGGCAACGCCTGACAGCTCGTCTGGCAGAGAGCAACCTGCTGCTCAGATCCTCGGCCGGTTTAGGGCTTAGCTAGGTGGGATTTTGGGACATTTTTTATTTTCCTTATTTGGGTTTATAAGGGACCCCATATATAAATATTTTTCAGGGTGTTTAAATTCCAACCCAGTTAGGTCTTGAGAGTGAAGGATTTAGGGGTTTAGGGATTAGGTCTTGAGGGTTTAGGGGTTTAGGGGTTTAACGGTTTAAAGGTTGAGGGGTTTAGGGGTTTGGGGATTTAGGTTTTGGGGTTTAGGGGTTGAGGGGTTGAGGGGTTTAGGAGTTGAGGGGTTTAGGGGTTTAGGTTTAGCGGTTCATGGGTTTAGGGTTTGGGGGTTTAGGGTTTAGGGGTTTAGGGGTTCAGGGTTCAGGGTCTAAGGCCATAACGTGGCGGTGTAAGGCCTCAAGGGTTTAGGGTTTCACGTCGGCGATGTAAGGCCTAAAGAGCCTAAAGGGTTTAGGGTTCTGCGCTGCTCACATCTTCGGCAATTAAGACAACCATTCGTGCAGTTTCGTTTTGAACCGCACTCTGAACCCGGAGCCGTGAACCCTAAAACTACGCTCTAACATAGAAGCCTAAAGAATTGGTAAGACTACTCCCTTTCACTAGTCTAGTCCCAAATATATTGTAGTCTAGTATGCCCGATTTTTTGCCGATGCTTAAGGACTGAAACTCGTGGCCCACGTAAGCTCAAAACCAGCTCTCCGTGAGGTTGGAGCGTTTGGAAGATTGCGACACATGGCAAAAGCATGAGCGCGACAGATTTCTGCGCCCTGAACATGTCCCTGAACCCTAAATCCTGAACCCTAAACCCCTAAACCGCCAAACCCTAATCTCGGCCCTTCCGGGGTTGGCAGACAAAGCAAAGTATTGGCGGACAAGAAAACGGTTCGGGTTTGCAATTTTGAGGCTACTTGTAATCCAAGAGATCACGAGAACACCTGCCATTATGCATGAAGCTGCAACCCAACTGCGACGAAGTGGAGGCAGACGGTTTGAATTCAGGGTGCTAGGATTTAGGGATAAGAAACCTCAACCAAGCCGTTTCTTTTGCAACCTCTGAATCACTGAACCCTCGACCCCTGCCCTAAACCCCCAAAACCTTGAAATTCTATGGTAAACCCGTATGCCTGAATCCCTCAACCCTACGACCTTGGTAGCCCAGGATATCTGGGCAAGGCGCAGCCCGGAATCTCCGACAAGACGCGCCTGGAGGCGCTGCCACCCCCACCCTCGGCTTTGGGGTGCAGGGCTGTCGTACGATCATTCCAAGATTGTTTCTGTGGTTTCGTGCAATCAGTACATATTGATGCGTACCCGTACCCCCCGCCCCCCCTCCTAGAATTAGGGCTGAGGGCTTATGGTTCAGGGTGCGGATGTTCCGGAGCAAGGGTGTGGAGAATCTTCACGGGGTGGCTCCGGCACATGTCGGCGCAGCGGTAAGCTACATTGTCAGAGTAATTTGCATGAAATACAGACAGTGGCAAGACCGGATATGTGGAATGTGTGTGCGCCTCTTCAACAGGAAGGGCCTCCTATAGCCCGGGAACGAATTATTAAATTACAAGGATTTCTTACCAAACACCCATATTTGTATTGCCTGCTTGGACCAGTCATTGGAGTCGAACCGTCGTCTACATCATCGCCGGCTTAGGCTTTACTGCAAAACCCTGTATGGGTCCAGGATTTAAAGTGTCCGCAAAGGGATGTCCAAGGGTAAAGTGTTTCTGCATTGGGTTCCTCGTTCTGAGCACCTTCATGAGTTCCAGGCAGCTTTGTACAAGGTATGATTCTTCGGGCACTCTCGAAAACCCACTTCATGCTCTACCCCACACATGGTTATAGGTGACTCCCTTTTCTCTTGCGCTTGCAGAACACATTCGAACATAGTGCATTGGCAAAGCATAACTGTGAACGAAGCATGTGCATACTTGCAACATGCACACGTACGTTGTCCCTCAACCGGTATATGTGTATGAGTGCATGCGCTACATGTTCGAATGTGTATGTATATGTGTATGGAGGATTCAAATTTTGCCCGATGTACATGTCTACTTGACGAGTTATAGTGAAGCTGAGCACGTACAAATGTATGCATGGTTGTATACAGCATGTACGTAATAGACATAGCTACGTCGATGTTAATCTTTCTGGTGGCAGTATTCGTGAAGCTGCTTCAAATCGTAATTGCAAGATCAGTGGTGATAGTAGTCGTAACATTCGTAGCGATGGCAAATAATAGCAACAACCCGAGTGTAGTCGCAATGACGAAAAAGGTCACCAGTAAATACAATCGTCGTCGTCGTCGTAGCATTAGTAGTAACAGTAGCGGTGGCAGTAGCAGTAGCAGTAGGAGTAGGCGTAGCCGTAGGCCGTAGGAGTAGGAGTAGTGGGAGTAGTAGCAGCAGCAGCAGCAGCAGCAGCAGTAGTAGTAGTAGTAGTAGTAGTAGTAGCAGTAGTAGTAGCAGTAGCAGTGGTAGTAGTAGTGGTAGTAGTAGTGGTAGTAGTAGTAGTAGTAGTAGCAGTAGTAGTAGTAGTAGCCAAGTAGGCCGCTTGACCTCTCAAAGGGTCCCCTTTTTGACCTGGGCTAATCAGTCTCAAGGGTCTGAGTCAGTTTCACACCAACGTGAGTGCACCGCGGCAATCGCCCGCTATGTGCAGAGCCCGCTCGCACAGCGTCCAATTGAATCTAGTAGTAGTAGTAGTAGTAGTAGTAGTAGTAGTAGTAGTAGTAGTAGTAGTAGTAGTCGTAGTAGTAGTAGTAGTAGTAGTAGTAGTAGTAGTAGTAGTAGTAGTAGTAGTAGTAGTAGTAGTAGTAGTAGTAGTAGTAGTAGTAGTAGTAGTAGTAGTAGTAGTAGTAGTAGTAGTAGTAGTAGTAGTAGTAGTAGTAGTAGTAGTAGTAGTAGTAGTAGTAGCCGTAGTAGTAGTAGTAGTAGTAGTAGTAGTAGTAGTAGCAGTAGTAGTAGCAGTAGCGATAGAAGGTTATAGCGGTAGTAACAATCATAGTAGTGACAGCAGCCATCGTCGTGTTACGGAAATAAGCAGCGGCAAACAGTAGCTCAGTCAAAACCTAGTAGCAGCGGTGGTAGCCTTGGTGATGGCAATGGTAAATGATAACAACAGCCTCATGAACACCACGAATGTGAAGACCTGGAGAAATATGTATCCATCCATCCATCCATCTATCTATATATATATATATATACATCATGTACATGCACATATTATGCATAAGAAACGCCAATATTGTTCCTGAGTAGGTTTCCTCCTTGTATTCATATGTGTAGTCTAGCTCCCAAGCCCATCCTGCTCACTAAGGCACCTAGACGGTTGGATCCTTGTATAGATCCCTGTCAGAAGCCTTCAAGGAGCCCTTATAGCACCTTTTACAGGAAACCTTTTCCTTAAGGCCCCTGCAGAACTCTGACAAAGGTCCGCCTTTGGGCTTCCATGCGGTCTCAGCCACTGGGCGCCACAGAGACGTCGAGTCTACAGAAGTCGGAATGACGGATTCAGGGTGTTGGGTTTAGCATCTAGGGTGTTGCACTTGGGGAAAATATCTACTGGGGCTTCCCGAATCCCTGAAGGGACTCCCTAAAGCCCTTAACCCTGAGCCAGTATAGTGAACCCTTTTTGGACCCCTAGAATAACCCGATAAAAGCTCACCGCTGGTGTGATGCGTCTCCGATGTCCGAGGACTGTGATGCGCACGGTGCAAGGAGCCGCCTCTCGTCTCTCCAATATATTGGGGTTTAGGGTTTAGGGTTTAGGGTTTGGGTTTAGGGTTTAGGGTTTAGGGTTTGGGTTTAGGGTTTAGGGTTTAGGGTTTAGGGGGTTCTGTCGTCGATCTATAGTCATAGGAGGCCAAAATGGGTTTTAGCCTATGGGGGTTTAGTAGGGATTAGGGTTCCATAATCGGGTTCATGTTAAGGAATCCCTACCCCAAGAATCTTAAACCCCCCCTTTGGGCCTCCCATCATATAGGGCTCTAGAACGACTCCTTTAAGAGGTTTCGAACCTCGTCCATAGTGTAAAGGGTCCTAGGGTTGAGCCCCATATCCTAAACCCTTTAATGCTTCACTCTCAACCCGAAAAATCTTTAATGTGGTGTCTGAAGCCGAAACCTTTCAAAGGAGGCGCTCGCAGAGTTTGAGGGAAAGGGTTCGGGGTCTTGGTGGTTTTGGGGTTCAGGTTCAGGGCTTGGGGGGACTCTTGGGTTCAGGGTTTAGTTGGGGGGGCTCTTGGGTTCAGGGTTTAGTTGGGGGGACTCTTGGGTTTAGGATTCAGGGTCTTCGGGGCCTAGGCTTCGGTGGGCCTCAGGGTTTCGGGCTCAGGGTTTCGGGCTCAGGGTTTCGGTGCCTGAGGCTCTCTGCTTGGGTTTTTTTGCTGAAAAGCTATAAGATTCGACTGGAAAACTCTAGGAACCACGGACGAGGAGCCTCCTGTTATATCGCAGGGGTAAAACCGTAGGCTGGCGGTAAGTGGGGCTTCAAGATGTGTGGCTGCAGTTGCAGACACGTCTTTGACAACCGACAACTGGGGTTAGGGGCTGAGAAACTAGAATATAGGCGCCAACAACTGGGCCTAGATAATAACTGATACTGATACACTGGGTGGCAATTTGGGAAACTTTTTAATTTCCCTTATGGTTCCTATAGAAGTACCTATTCATAAATACTTTTCAGAGCCCCAAAACCACAACCCAGTACAACTTTTGGAGGTTCCCTGTGCCTACGCATAAGCACAGCAGCCTAAAGAGGATCCCATGACTGGCAGACGGCACAGTGTCAGCTCTTAAATACCCAGAGCCTCCAAAACCCCTTAATTAAGGAATATAGCTTAAATTATAATAGGATCCCTAATATGATTTTAAGGTATATTCCTTAATTAAGAGGTTTTGGAGGCTCTGGGTAGGCTCCCTGAGCCCTTCAGCCTCGAATGTAACCTCCGTGAAACAGAAAATCAGACTCGTTTCTTGTTGGTATGGTGTAGTAATTGCCATACATATCTACATCGAGACGATAAAGGGCATACCCGTATGACATTTTCAAGCCTATGTGGGTAGTTGTCAAAAAATTATGGTTCCTTTTTTGGGTACCCTATATAGTAGGTGCCGTATTATAATCCTGAGCCAAAACGGGACCCTAATATTGACAAAACCACCTATGTGTCACCCTAAACCCTAAACCCTAAACCCTAAGCCTATGTGTTAGACCCGGAGGTCCTGAACCCGCAAGATTTCGCGACTCAGGTGAACTACCACATCGCGCTCGAAGCGAATCCCACAATTGTGTGCCTCGGCCTACAGGGCGTCCGTCTAGGGTTCAGGGAACCCTGATACCCTAAGCCCTAAACCCCCAAACGTTAAACCCCCCAGCAGGGTTTGGGCCTGATACTCACCTTTGGGTCGCGGCCTTCTTCAACCTCCGATTTCAACCCGCTAGGCCCCAAGCCGTCTCAGTATTTATACCTATGTACTCTGTCCAGCATCCTCTAAGCCTCAAACATTCCCTTGCATCCCTTTATAAATATGTACGGAGTTTAAACTGTACCACATAGTAATATGTTGAATTACATGATGAACAACCCTAAGTTGAAGGCCCATAGCCCTCGAAGCCCGAGTCGTGAAGCCCCTTGATCGGCCTCACGCCCTAGGAACTGTATTAGGTGGTGGACTTGGATGAATTCAGAACCCGTCAGAGGTACCCATGCAATTTTCCTCAGGGTTCCCCGGTCGAAGTGTAAAAGAAGATGTTCCGAAAACTCGTTTGAATATCAGGCCCCCTATAATTGGAATCTTCAAGTTTCCACATGCATTCGTGAGCCCGAAACTAGAAGCCGTAGCTGCTTAAAGCTTAGGATGTACGGTCAGAGGCGTTTGTTGGGCTTCTTCGTAGCTGGACCCTGGCGTTCTTCTTTTCCTGAATCAGGCTTTTAGGGCTCACTGAAGTGTTTAGGAGCTGGGCTTCGCAACGTGCGCACGCAGACACACACACACACACACACAAAGACAAACACGTGCGAGCATTGCGTGTCGTGCAACATAATGTGATGGAATGCAGTGTAGTGCAGTGTAAAGCAGTGTGTCACGATGTAGTATGAGGTGGTGAAATGCAATGTAATACATGGAGTGGATGTCGTGTATGTAATGTATGTAATGAATGCAATGCTGTGTAGTGTGTGTAAGTTATGAATTGTATGACTGTATGTATGTATATATGTATGTATGTATGCACGCATGTATTTACTTATGTGTCCGTGGATGTGTATGTATGCATGCATGCAGGCAGGCATGTATGTATGTTTGCATGTATGTTTGTATGTATGTATGTGTGTATGTATGCATGCATGTGTGTGAAATCACCTCGGGTAACTGATGCATGCTGACAATGTGTGCAAGTGGTATATGCAGATAGTAGCGCTCTTAGCTAAACTGTAGATAGTTAGCGTAAGTGGTTAGATGCAGTTAGTTTCAGCAAGCAACATCTGTAGCAAATGTGCAGTGTATGATCTATACATGAATGAAGGCCTGCTTGCTTCCATGTCTTCTGCCTGCCTGCCTGTCTGTCTTTCTGTCTGTCTGACTCCACGTCCGTATGTTTGGTGGTTGGTCTTGGCGTAAGTAGCACTTGGGCAAGTACATCGACAGACAGACTCTTCGTGGGTATGTGTCCGGTTTTCTTTTCTTGTCATGGAGTTGAAGACCTTTGCAATATCCACGCTTGGTAGGCAAGTTTGGCACCCTACATCTCAGAGTTGACGTCATATCTTGTGCAGCTCATTTCGTACAGGACGCTCATAGAAGACTTACAGAGCCCTTATACTACCCTGGTCGTATCCCTGTAGTAGCAGTGCAGAAGCCTTACAGTGCTTCCTGGGTACCCTCCTTGTAGTTTCGCTTTTAGAACCCGTTTTCACTACCCTGAATCGACTGAAAGCAGGTCGCCCCACTCCACCATCTCCAAACGCTCGCAGTTGGAGAAGTACGTGGAGCTGGTGTCTGGGCACATTAGCACCCATGGACACACATCAGCCTTAGCCAAGCATAAGAAACTCCCCAAATTCGACAGGCAAAACCCTAAACCCCAAAACACCTAAAGCCCTCAATCCCTAAAGCATTTAAAGACCTAAAACTGAACCCTCAACCCTAAACCGTCGCAGAGTGCCCATCAGATGTCGAAGGTCTGGTCACACCAGACGCACGGCGAAGACAACAAGAAAGACAGCCTGGAACTCAGTCGGTTTGCTTTAGGGCTTAGGTTTTAAAGCCGTTTATTTAGATCGCTGTCTTTTGAACCCTCCTCCCTGAGTAAGAACTGCAATACCTATATAATTACTAAGAATCTACCATGATTCTTCTATGATCGTTGTGCCATTCTATTACCGGGGTTTCTCAAAGGCTCTAAACTCTAAACCCTAAACCCTCCACCCTAAACCCTAAACCCCTAAACCCTAAACCCACCCTTCCGGGGCCTTGCCCTCCAAGAGACCCACCTAGGGAACTGTTAGCGTTTTGGGTTCAGGGTTTAGGGCTTATGCACAAGGGGGAGGTCGCCTTGCGCAAGCACTAGGTCACCGGGTCTCCTGATGCCCAAGGAAAGCGGACCAGGTCATTATATGTACATAATGTATCCTAGGAAATCTATGTATAAGTTTCTTCAGGACCTAGCTACAGCAAATCGAGCCGTTTCAGCGATGCTTTGGACCAAACCGAAACCACTCTTTGAGATTAGCTTGATCTGCACCATATGACCACGGTAAGTTCTGGAGGACACTAATAGCAACTCCTTCGAATCAAGATTCGCTATAAACTCTGGAATATCGCGTAAAGTTCATACGCTGACATACGCCCTCAAAACCCTAATGCCCCACACCTAGAAGCCTGAAACCTTCAAGCTCCAAAAGCAATCTCGAGGTGATGTGCGGCGTCTTTTGGGGCTGTACGAGGACTTCTCGACCTGCGTTGAGACTTCTCTGTCTTTTCAGGTCCAAGGTCGATCCAAGACTTCATGATGACATAAGGGCTCGAAGCGGACGAGGGTGATCACAGGCAACACGACGTGTTGCATGACTTCTGGTCGGGCAGGTACAAATCGTAGAGTATACGGCTGGGTGGCTATATATCTAGATGGGCACTTACGCATACGCGTACGCACGTGCTATGATCAGGTATTCTTACAAAAGCAAGCGTGCATGCATGCATGCGTACATATGTATATACGAACACACGGACATACGTACATACATGACATACAATACATGCATTACATAGACTACATACATTACATACGCGGCATAGAGACATAAATACATACATACATACATACATACAGACACATACTGATACTTAATTCGGAATTCAACACACATGGGTGGAGACCTACCATATCGAAGCATGTGTAACATAACCTCGACTGGCATAGTCATGGCATAATCGAAGTCTTTTCGGATGTTCGGGCATATCAGATGCATATCTCAGGCTGGGGCTTATAGGTGTTTTGTGGTGGAGGAAGGGCGTACGGCTTTGCTGGTTGATCGACAAAAAGATTAAGCTTTGGCGAGCTTCTTCCCCAGTTTACCTGGACCCTGAACCAGCACCGGTGCGAGGACTACCCCATCTACCTGGTCTTCGATCTAGATATGGCGGCTTTTCAGCCATGGTTCGCTGGGTTAAGTGGGTTTGGGGCCTCTGGGTTTAGAGTTAAGTTTTGCAGGTCCGAGACGGCTTGGGGTTCGGCATGTAGGGCTTTTGGGTGTAGGCTTGTAGGCTTGTAGGCCACCGGGATACTTCACACCCGTTTTTCTTGCTTACGAGGGTCTTAAGGCCCAGCCGAGCAATGAGGCGTCTTTGAATTTAGCCTGAGTCCGCATGGTTTTCAGGTTCCATAAGGGGTTTACATCAGGTTTGGTCCTCCAGCGGCTCTTCTGGAAAATTCAGTGTTAAGGCTGGGGAATCCATGAGGATGGGCTTCTTCAACTCCAGAAAGCACGAGGAGTCTTTTCTTCAGACTAGGGGTGACCCCCTACTTCAGGGTCTTTAGAGTTGGGACCTCTTGATTATACCTGGTGTCTGTATTCGGGTCCGGGAAATATGGGAGTTTCCGAAAATAGGCGACCCTAACATGGTACCTCAAATAGTAGGATCCTTATTAGAAGGACCCCAAAATAAGGCACCCCCATTTTCGGAGACTCCCGTATGTGCATCTCCCAGAAGGAGCGCAAGGGCCCGGATGGCTTCGATCAAGTCCATCCCCAATGCCCCAAGCCCTGAACCCCTAAAGCCAAAGTCCTTAAAACCCCTAAACCCCCAAGCCCGTAATAAACCCCTAAACCCCTAAACCCCAGACCACCCGTTTATAGAACCTAGAACCCTTATAGAGCAAGCAGGTGCTAACCCCACACCTCACATCCTATACTCCCCCCTATGCTTTGACCCCAATTCTCTAACCACCTAATAAACCGACCTTCCTGATACAACCCAAACCAAAAGCACTACCTACATCCACCACCTTACCACAATCCTGACCCACAAAAACCGAAAGCACCAGCTAACCCCACACCTCATACCCTATACTCCCCCCTACGCTTTTACCTCAATTCTCAAACCGCCTAACATTTCAACCCTTAAATCCCTGAAAACACAAAGCAACCTTCCCAAAACCCAATACAACAATCCATAACACAACAACCTCGCCAAACCCCAAAGCACAAACACAAACGAAAGAACCTCCTTACCCCACACCTCACATCCTATACTCCCCCCTATGCTTTGACCCCAATTCTCTAACCACCTAATAAACCGACCTTCCCAAAACCCAATACAACAATCCATAACACAACAACCTCGCCAAACCCAAGCCAAGATCCGAAAGCAATCCGTACCTAATGGGAAATATTTTGAACTTGTTAAAGCATTGCTATGGGCTGGCTACATCGTCTGCTTCTTCAATGATGTGGCGTGCCTTCCACGCTTGACGAGGGTTTTGCGACAAACTTTGGAGCGGCAGCCACTGGCTGCGGCATGCCTGCTTGTTTGCGATGTCCAGAACGCAATGCCGTTCATCCACGTCCACGTTTTCCACCGTGAGTACCGCAGCTTTCTCGAGCAATAGTAGAAGCAAGTAGAAGACACGACATTCGTGTCATGTCGCTCCGCAGCATGACGCTTCCCTTTAGGCTGCATCGCCGTCACTTCTTCACAGCCAACCGGGAGGTGTTGGAGGCGCTGAAAAACTTGGACAGCAAGGTCGAAGCCTTGCAGAAGAAGTTCGACAGCAAGACCGAGGCCTTGGAGAAGAAGTTCGACAGCAAGACCGAGGCCTTGGAGAAGAAGTTCGACAGCTTGGAGAAGAGGTTCGATGGCCTCGAGTCAAAGTGGGAAGCCTTCCTCGTTGAGTACAGACGCTCGGTGCTTGCCTCTTATTCTTGTTTCTCGAAGCAAAAGTCGTCAAAACGCTAAAGGTTTCAGTGTGCCCATGAAGCATTCAGGAAAAGAATGGAAGGACATCACCATCGCATGGAGCTCCATGAAAGCATTAACTGGCGGTGTCGCGGCTGTCCTCGCATCGCTTGCTGGCATTGTCAAGCTTAAAGAGGCTTTCGACCAGGCAGTTCTAGATCGAACCAGTTGCTGTTGTTCCTGATGATGTAGTTGTCATCTTTTGCTTCGACGTCTTTTTTGGTGCCAACTGCCCCTGCAGGTGAACAGAAAAAGCGCCGGCGATGAGTGACACGTTGTCTCACATCTGGAGCCTCCAGAGTAGCACCCCCCCCCCTTTTCGCACACGTGGTCAGATAGATGTCGGACAACGGCAGAGCACCGAAGTCCGGGAGCTGGGGGCGCAAAAGAGAGAACTGAACTTTGGGCGTAGATGTTTTGCATTCGCTGAGCTTTTTTAAGCCCTCACACTTCGAAGCTTCATCACCTCCGGACGCGACAGGACCACAACGACTTGCGTGAGCTCCAGACGCCGCGAGCCCTTTTTGGTTTTTCTGGGCTTAGGTAGACTTGGGGATCTCCGGGCGCGTTTTGGTTTCAGTGTAAGGTTTGAGGAGTTTGGTTTGAAAACCACCGGCTCTTCCTGTCCTTGAAACGCTGGCTGATTAGTCGGCTCTTCCCATCATTCAGACGCTATGGAGCTTTGCTGGGCAGAGCTTGAGGTTTAGTGTTTAGGTTTAGTCTTTAGTTTTAGTTTAGGAGGGGTTTACGGCTTCTTTTTTGTGCCTTTTTTGTTTGTGCATTTTTTGGTGGGAAAACCCTTTAAACACTACAAACATGTTTACATTTCCATAAACCGCACAAAAGGAACACATAAATCAGGAATAGAGCATAAGGTAAAGATTTTTTCAGAAACTCTAACGAAATTTCTGAAAAATCCACTTTTTAACAGCCCTTTCAAAACATATAGCAAAACATATTACGAAACAAGCGAAAACATAAAAACAGCAAAGCAGCAAAAACAACATAAACTCAGGAATAGACTATGAAAGTAAAGACTTTTTTACACCTTTAGCAATTCGTGTCGTAAATACGACCGAGTATCATTACCCAAATAATAATAGTTTTGACCTAACTTTTTCTCTACTTTTCTGACCGTCTGCGGGGTTTTAACCCAATGCGAAGTACGTTCTTTTTCGCTAATCCCTTTCTTACGCATTATTTTAACATCATCACCAACCTCTAGTTCAGGGTAGGTTCTGTTGCGCTTCGCTTGCACAGATATGTTTAATTTAACTTCCAATTCATTTTTCTTTTTCCTAGCCTCTATCGGTGTAAATTTTGTGGTAGATGACGCCATTTTATTATTATATGTTAATAATATTTCAAAATTATAATCTATCCACTGTATATTTTGCTTACCCTTTTTTTCACCGGCTTCAACCCGCTTGAATAGCATATCTTTATATGTTCTTATAAACCTTTCCGCGAAGGCGGGGTGACCTCTAGTTCTATGTATTTCTATTTTTTCTTTTTCCAAATATTCTATAACCGTTTTACTATACAAACTACCCTCTTCGTCTGAATAAAACATTCTTGGCTTATCGCCCATTTTTTGTAACCCTTCCATTATCCCCGCCAACATGTCAGGCGGTTCTTTGCTCTTAATAGGTATAACTGTAGCATATTTACTAAAAATATCAATTAAAACTAATCCTATTCTAAACTTTTGGTTTTCTAAATCGTTCTTACTTATAAAAAACAAATCCACCTGATACTCAAAATGCGCGTGAGGAGCTACAAAACTATTTTTGCCTCGTGGTTTCCTTTTAACTTCAACATTTTTCCTAAAAAACTCCTCAACGTCCTCTTTCGTTATCCGTTTATCTTTCTCACGAGCTTCTTTAAGAGTAGTCGCCCTACTCCCGAAGCCAGAGCGGTCAAAATAAATATCATGAATAATTTTTTGTTTATCCATATAAATAATAATAGAGATTTTTTTTAATGAGCACTTACATTACAGTAGAAGCAGTAGGCACAACAGTTGTCTGAATGGTGACTATAGTCATTACAAAGCCTCTGGGCTGTGAAGTTGCTACATAACTTACCCTGTTTGGTTTCAAAGTTAAACGGTGTGTTGCACTTCTCGCATCTGCTTTTAAACCTCTGTAAGCACCATTCGGGCGTTATGTATGCTTCTTCGTTTATCTCTCTTCCTGCTCTTCTGTCTTGAACTTTGTAATTCTCCACCTTGTTCTTAAAATATCTCATAATCATATTTTTATTCATTCGTTTATCATACTCGTCATTCTTGTAAAACTTGACTTGTCTGAAATCAACACACCTTGTTATTGCACACCATAGCCACTCTCTACTTGCTATTGGTAAGTCGTATTCGTGTATAGTTATACTTCCCTTTACACTCGCTCCCTGACTTGAATGACAAGTTGCACAATACGAGTAAATGAAGTTGGCATCTACGATAGGTTCAAATAACATAAATTCATCTTCTTCATTCGCTATATTTTGTAAAGTTATTTGCGCTCCGAGTTCATCTTGCACTATGCTCGTAATTCTATACCGTAGATTTACATTTACCCTTGGTTGTTTAATCCATTTTCTGGCAACCAATATTTCTCCTACCTCGTATTTACCTTGTTTGTTTAATCTGTCCCTGATTTCATTTGCCACATTTCGGCATCTTATGTTAGTATAGGCGATATTATGCTCCGATGCCATGATGTCGTCAGTCGTTTCAAAATATTTGGGTATAATCTCTTCAACTGGCAACTTCTTTTCCCAGAAGTCCTCATACATGTTATTAATGATTTGCCTGTTTATGTCTCCTTCTTCACTGTCCTTCGCTCCCACTCTTTTACAAATTGTTAAGAAGATATTGTATCTAAATATTATATCCAAGCAGTTGTCAATATATGTTGCTGGGTTCTGGCAGTTAGTCATAACTTCCACTCCCTGTAATTGCTTAACATCGCCCGTCGCAACTACGATTTTATCGGGGTTATTCTTAATAAACTGCCTGACCTTATCTAAAACATACAGGTTTGACATATAGATTTCATCAAATACGATTATGTCAAAATCACTGTAATCAAACTGTGGCAGTTTCTCCCCGACATCTTCATGAACCGCTATGCTGAAAAACTTATTATATGTTGTCGCCTCTACTTCCTTTTCCTGTAAAAGT